CAAGGGAGCAACTTCATGTGATTCATAATTACAGATCAATCATTATATAGGAATATCATACTGCAAGAAAAAATTCACATCGATGGATTTTTACAGGATTACCCCAATAAAAGAGTGGACGTGCGTTAACATTGTGGAATATTATCGAAAGGAACACATAAAACGAGAATTGTCGAAAATTCTGGACAGTGTGAAAAAAGATCTTATAAAGGTAGCTGATGCTAACTCTGATTTCGACATGACGCGCAAAGTTAAAGCGCAAGAAATTATCGATACTTGGGAGGTGAGTTATTCATTCATTCATTAATGAGACGGTAAACTTAAGGAACTCCTTAGTTCGATACAAACCTTCTTCATCAGAGGGTGCTGGAACTCTTAGTTTTACAGCGGTAGCTTCAGCTCATAGCTGAGGTGTGTTGAGTTCTTTGACCTCAATTCTTAGTTGAGGTGTTGAACTCTTTGGGAGGAGCTGGAACTCTTAGTTTTACAGTGGTAACTTCGACTCATAGTCGAGTGTTGAGCTCTTAGCTTGAAATTCCCATTGGTTTATTGGATTATTTCTGATAGGAATTTCTTATGAATGGTTACTAATGCTATATTTGTCAAGGATTGGAGTTCCCCGGTGAAAGAAAAAAAAAGCAAATATAATTCAACACGAATAAGCAGAAAGATTAATATGATACGTGTAAGTTAGATAGTAGGGCGCTTAGCTTATAAATGGATATTTTACCACAAATAATGTAAGACATTTCCTTTTTATTAGAAAAAGCAACAACTTAGTGCAATCAAGAATTCTGTAATTCAAGTTGACATATTTCAAAATCAGTTTAATGAGGACAGCCGAAAAAGATCCATGGAAAGCCGAGATAGTGATGATGATCAGTCTGATGATGAAACGCTAATTGTGAAGAAGGTGAGATTGGTGGCTATATAATAGTCTCTGATAACAAATAGCCCACTAACATGTTTCATTGGATGTGCTAGAACAAAGCCTGTGAAGTCAGTTTGTTACCATCCGTTGAAGAAATTTCAAAGATAACCTCTACACAAGATTTAATCGATCGTTTAAGAAAAACAAACATAGGTTTAACGGATGATGATTTCAAGATCCTCAACGTCCATGGAATAACAGGAAGAACTTTCCTTTTGCTAACAGAGGAAAAACTCGAAAGTCGCGGTGTGAAATTGGGACCAGCAATGAGCATTGCTTATTCGGTTAATAAGATTCGGGAGCAAAAATTGAGTGAGTAATTATAACATTAATTATGTCGAGAATATGGTTTTTCCTAATTTTATATTATTCACACATTTATTATAGGTGTTAACAAACCTGGTGCCGATGAAGTTGAAGATGTGTCTGGTAATTATTTTTTTTTGTTCTGAATCGTTTCATATGTCAAAATAGAAGGGGTAACTTAACAGAAGATTACATGCAAAACAGATACACCTCCCCAAGCTATTATTAAATCTACATTCGATCAAGAAAAATTTCGAGAAGAAATTGTTTCTGAAGTTCGTGCTGAAATTTGTGCTTTAATAAAAACATTTAAAAATGATCTTAGAGATCTATTGGCTAACACACAATCATAATTCGTTTTGATGTATCAGCTGTAGCGAATTTTGTTTGTTAGAGTGAAAATTCGTTTGTACAACATTATTCGATTACAATGTAGATATGTTAATCCGACCGTAACTACATACAATTATGAATTAGCTAATATAAGTATTTTATTATACATGCCATGGCTTATAATGTTAATAGTCCTCCAATCAACGACCCCCGATCGCATTTAATATAATCACAATTTTTATCACTCGTCGTGAGTTAGTTACGCGCAGGTCGCATCATGGATTTCTTTC